TCCATAATTGGTGACATTCATTTTAGTGGCATCCTCAGACCCTGCAATGACCAAAAGAAGGAAAGCCATCTAGTGAAAAAGCTTACATTAAGAAAGCCCTCCAGAGACTGAAGACCACCACTATCATGGCATCTGTCCACTGTGCTGACCAGTCCCGACAATCCTGGGATCATGAATACTAGGACAGAAACGGAGGCTGCCAAGTCTCACCTAGAGAAGATCTGGGTTGGGCAACAGCTGTGCAGTGGGCTCTCACACCAACATAACTTGAAATAGCTCCTGGGATGAGCTTCCTCACATTTCTGATGAAATAGCTAACATTCCTGCAGACACAGATTAGTCCTTTGCTGCTACTTCCATTTGTTAGACAAATGTATTGAGCTTGGGGCCCAAGGCGGGAAGATTTTGGGTGTCAAAAACAAACAGTAGGCCAGGCATGGTGGCCCATGCCTGTAATCTCAACACTTGGGAGGCTGAGGCAGGAGAATCACTTGAGCCCAGCAGTTTCAGACCAGCCTAGGCTACCTAATAAGATCTCATCTCTGCAAAAAATACAAAAAAAAAAAAATTAGTCTGACACAGCAGAGTGTACCTGTAGTTCCAGCTACTCAGGAGGCTGAGGCAGGAGGATCACTTGAGCCCAGGAATTTGAGGCTGCTGTGAGTTATGATCACACCACTGCACTCCAACCTGGGAGGACCAAGACCCCTTTGCAAAAAAAGAAAAAAACCACACACACACATAGACACACAAATAGTAATAATAGCTGACACTTGTAAGCCATTCAAAATATGCTGGTCTCTTAAGTATCAAACACCTCTGCAAGGGAGATATTTTATCTACATCATACATATAGACATGGGCACACAGCGAGGTAACTGAGCCGAGAAGATGAGACAGCCCCTGAATCACTGACCTCCACTCACTGCCAGGCTTTCTTTCTGTGAGAGGCTCTCTTTGAGGAGCCCGTAACAGAGTCAGCGTGTCTCTGAGGAATTTCCTGTGTGGTCAAGGGAAAAAGAAGTCCCAGGATCTCCTCCCTCTGGGCCTGTTCCCAATCTCAGATCTCCTTAGGAAGCCACCAGCAGCCAGAGTGGAGCCTGAGGCCAGGAAGCCGACCCCGAGGACTGACTCTTCTGCTCTGGGGTAAGGGGAAAACAAATTATGTTTTCCTCTCTCTCTGAAGAGCTGACTCAGGCTTAAGGGACAGATAATAGGATGTAAACTTAAGAGTAAGCCTCTACAGTCATTACGGGGGCGCCCCTGAGGGTTGTAGGACTTGGGCCTACCAGGGGCCTCAGTAAAGGGTCCATATACCCTGCCTGCTTCAGCAGCAACTGTATTACCCATTCAGGGCAAAGCCTGTAGAAATAGAAGGCATTTACCAGTCTCTCTGGTCTCTGCAGAGAACTCTCTGGGGAATTTCAAAGACCTTTGGAAAACTGCTTTGTTCTTCCATGTGAAAGAAGATGCCATCTGTCTAACATCTACTAGGAAAATGTTTTTTTATCAATTAATGTTGAAATCTTATGTGATAATTATAAACTTATAGTAATACTTCACCAACCCTAATATTACTTAAAATATTTCTTTTTTTTTCTTTTTCTTTTTCTTTTTTTTTTTTTTTGAGGCTGAGTTTCGCTCTTTTCACCCAGGCTGGAGTGCAGTGGGATGATCTCGGCTCACTACAACCTCCGCCTCCCGGGTTCAATGGATTCTCCTGCCTTAGCCTCCCGAGTAGCTGGGATTATAGGCACCCGCCACAACACCCAGTGAATTTTTGTATTTTCAGTAGAGATGGGGTTTTGCCATGTTGGCCAGGCTGGTGTCAAACTCCTGACCTCAGGTGGTCCACCCACCTTGGCCTCCCAAAGTGCTGGGATTACAGGCGTGAGCCACCACACCGGCCTACTTAAAATATTTATTTTAACTTATTCTAGAGACTGGTTTATATACCAAATGTTATTACAACCTCAGGCATGTATTCTCTGAAATGTCAGGTAGCTTCAGATGTGAATCATGCAGTTTGGTAAAAGCAATCATTGATCAGTCTTCACTTTTTTAGTGAAAAGTGTTGCTCCCATATTCATATTCATTAGTTTCACATGTGAACCATAGCTATGACATGAAATTTTAAATTCTGAGTTTTTATCATTTGAGTAATAGCAAAGCTGATGAGTTTTTAAAGGTTGATTCATTTTAAATTACTTAATTTTAACCTTCAGGATCTCTTCTTTCTTTAGACAAGTTCGGGGACCATCCATTCATTTGACAGCCAATTTCATATACCTTCTGTAGGTAAGTTACTTTGTTGTGGTAAGTGATATTTATGTTAATGTCCCTGAAATACTATAAAAATTTGAAATACCTTCTCAAAGAAAAACAAAATTATTTTTATTTCTGTTTTACTGTATTTCCATTGAGTATTGTTATTGTATGCATGATATCACAGTGAATATTAATTCACATATTATCAGGATATGTAATTAACTGAAATACAATGTTCACCAGTCATGTATAGAAAGAAGTCCATTCATAGAATGTTCCAGCAATAATGCTTGTTATTGATATTTCTTCTGTTAGATAGTTATTCAAATTCTTCTTTAAGTGAGTCCACCTAGAATAAAATAATCAAATGGCAAAAGTTTGCACGCTCTGCCAGTTAATCATCTGAAAAGCCACAAGTCACTTTTTTACATCCGTGTAAAACTGGACATCTGTGGTGTTCAGTTTCTCTGTGGCTTGGCCAGTTAAGTCATGCCCGCCCAACTTCCCTAGTATTTCCTTGCACTGGAGGAGTCCTTCAGCCATGGGAATGCCCAGGTCTTGTGTTTACACGTTTCTAAGGCTGCTGTTTTGCTTTTCTGTTTTGTTGCTATTAAATGGTTCTAAGATACTAAATAAAGTAAATAGAAACTAAACACCTATTGCTGTGGGGTCAATGACAAGTAACGTAAACAATTACTTTGTTTACTTGGAATCTGACTTTAACATTTAAAATATATAAACTCTGGCCAAAAAGAAGGAAAATTATTTCACAGTATATTCTTGTGAAGGTATTCTGCCATTAATTTTGAATTTACCAAATGAAATAAGGAGGTTTAATAGGCTTTAGTTAAGAAGCTGTAGTAGTAGAAGCTTTTGGTGGATTTGCTTTTCATGTATAGGGTCAGAGTGACAGACCCCCTTCTGAGGAACCAGATCTCCCAGGGTGGCACATCCAGGGACCACCCCCCCACCATATCCCCCACCTCCACACATTTACACTGTGTGGCCTTTCCCCATCAGCTATGGCCTCCCTAGCATCCAGATCCTGTGTCACATCCCTTGAGGCTACAAAGTGGCACCTGTTTCCAGTGCTGAGGAGAGCGAGAGAGCAAGCCCCCTGCCTGCACCCCAAATATGGAGGCTCCAGTCCAGGCCCCACCTAAAGCCATTGGATGCTATTGACATAGAGATGACCCTAAATGCACTGCAGGCAATGTGGGTCTCCCTGCTTGGGTGACATTGGCCTGTCAGACCTAGAGCAAATAAGATCTGTTTCTACACTGACTGCTCACAACGTACTAAGCACTGTATGGTATGGCCTTACACGGCCACACCATTATTCCCAAGGTACAGATGAGGAAACAGAAACTTAGGTGAATAAGCTGCACGGGACGAACCTGTGCAGGAGATGTTCTGAACCACTGCACAACACTGCCTCCCTCTCAGAAACCTTAGGGACTGGTGACCTGCTTCTCACTTATAAACCACTGACATTGTGTCGGGGAGTGTGGAAGAGTGGACGCAGTGCTGAGTGAGTTACCAGGGGGCTTCTCGCCTGCACCATTGGCACCTACACTAAGACTTCGGGCCTGCCTCCACATCCGCATCCTTACATGAGAAAGGAGGACAAGGTGAGCCCGTTGTTCCTCCCAGCTCCAGCTTTCTAGCAGCAGGTATGTGAATGCCTGCACAGCAGTCAGAACAGCTGGTACCTTAACTGAAATGAAAGCAAACTTCCACTTGACCTGCTGAGAAAAAAGATCTCAAGTAATAGCTGACGTCCTGAGTGTGTTCACTCAGAATATCTCACCCAACTTCTCCGTCCCCAACAATCCTGGGAGTGGAGGTCCCAACCCTCACATCAAGAGGAACTCCGAGGTGCTTGGATGCAGTCACGCCTCCAGGAGGAGCTGGGTTCAAACGCAGAGCCACCCCACCCCCACCTCCACGGCCCCAGCTCATGCCATGATGCCCTGAAGCTTCTCCTCTCAAGCTGTATTTTGCCGGCTGCTAATGTGCTTGTGGCTTGACAGTTACTAGTTCAACATGAAAAATCACAGTCTCAACAATATGAGAAATTAATATCCAGGTTAGAAACCACAGAGTCCTATTAAACTTCTTCTTCTAGGTGGGGACTGAGTGCCTAAATATGTCCCCACTCCATCTCATCTTCTCCAGCCTCTTTTTACATTCTTTGCTCATGGACCTTCTCGGTCTCTGATAGTCATCCTTTACCAGACTGTCTCCACAGCCTCCTAACTGGTCTTCCTGCTTACAGCCAGTCCTGCCCTCATGTGATCCACTCTCTTCGTCTCTGGAAAACCTAGGAAGGATCATATTATTTTCTGTTTATCACCCTCCAGGGGTTCCCCCAGGCCTTAAAGATCAAATCATGAGTCCTATATATGGCCCACAGGTACAGACCCTGAGGACATTTGTCCAAACTCCCCCTCGAAGCTACAATACCTTACAAATATCTGCGAAAATGCCTCATAGGAAAAAATGGTTCACTCACCATCCCCGCAGCAGGCAAGATCCAGTTATTTAGCGCAGGCCTTCCCTGCTTGCTTTACAATCTTTGGCATATTTTCCATACCATTGAGCAAGCTTCCACATTTAAATAAAAGTTAAAGATATCCTCCCTTTTAACACCCCAATTATAAAAACTGAAATTTTCGTTATCATTCCCTATTTTAAAAAGGCAAGGAGAAAAGCAAACACATATGTTTTACCTGTAATTTCCAGAATGTTTGCAGCAACTCCTCAGTTGCTTCCAGAATATCTTAATGAAGAGAGCTGGAGTTTGGAAGAGTGAAGAGGCTGATGTCCCTGTGAGCCTGGTGCTCAGATGCTGCCTACGAGCGAACCTTCCTCTATTTGTACTGGACCAAGGGAACAGCGATGTTTGCCGTGTCACCTGGATTATCAGCAATGACTACAAACACTTCACAGAACTCCCAAAGCACACACTGGCAAAGAACAGAACTAGCCTGGAGTCATGAGCGTTGCTATGCTTCTCATTCTGTGAAGACCTGCAGACTACAGCAAGCAAGTGAAATAGCAAACAAAATAACCTACTTTGTTCTTGTTCTAACCGTTCGATATTTTGTGGCATATTATGAGGCATGGAAACATAGCTTTTTACCTTATTTTGAAGTTGACCGTTTTCACCATTTGTCTGGAGACGTACGTGCCTGTTTAGTTCTGGAGAAGTATGTGTTTGTTTAGTTCAGTACTGTGAAGTGGAGGTCACGTTCCCATAGAAGCAGATTGGTTCAGTTCAACAAACATTTGCTCAGTGTCTGCTCTCTTTAGAATATGAACCTGAAACAAAGAAGCAAAACAAAACTGATTTCCAAGAATTCTCAAGCCAGTTATCTTTCGTACAGTGACAACCACCAGTAAGCATGTATTCTCTCGACTTTGCATTCATTCTTTAGACAACCATACAAACCTTTAGGCCAAGCTCAGCGGGGCACTGTGCAGTGCAGGCAGCCGAGGGAGGCCAGGGCCTGGGAGGGTGATACATGCATCAAATCACGCAATGTCCTCATTGCCTTAATTTTGATCACCAGGACCCTGGGTAAAGTCTCAAAAAAAAAAAAAGTTTTATTGAGGCATAATGGACATACAGTAAGTCTCACTTAATATTGTTGATAATTTAACTTCAACTTTAAGCAAAACAATGTATAACAAAACCAATTTTCCTAGAAGTTGATTGATACAAACAATAGTCAAGTTCCTGCCGCCTATTTTTGGTCACAAAAACATCACCAAAATTCTAAATAAAGACTTCAACACTCCTAATATTAGCCATTGAAATAAATGTGAAATGTACATACATTTAAGAAAGAGTTATAAGAACAAGTAAAATATGTATCAATTTTTGATAAATCAGCAGTCACAACGACTGTAATGGTGGTGGGTTAAATTAAGGTATAAGCGTTTGCAAAGTGAAAATTGTCAGGAGCAGCTCCTCCCACCTCGCAGCCTGAAAACCATCACAAATATGACAGGTTTCCAAAACACTTTCACTCACATTGTTTCTTGTCATGCACTTGTATGATTGTCGAGATTTTACAATTTTTTTATAAGCAACTTTTATTCATTCATTCGTTTTCCAACCCATAACTTTTATTCATTCTTTCACTTATTTTCCAAACCGTAACTTTTTTTTTTGTACTTTAGGTTCTGGGGTACATATGCAGATCATGCAGGATTGTTGCATAGGTACATACATGGCAAGATGGTTTGCTGCCTCCATCCCCCTGCCACCTATATCTGGCATTTCTACCCACGTTATCCCTCCCCAACATCCCCACCCCCCGCTGTCCCTCCCCTACCATCCCAACACACCCCAGTGTGTGATGCTCCCCTCCCTGTGTCTGTGTGTTCTCATTGTTCAACACTCGCCTATGAGTGAGAACATGCGGTGTTTGATTTTCTGGTCTTGTGTCGGTTTTCTGAGAATGATTTCCAGATTCATCCATATCCCTACAAAGGACACAAACACATTGTTTTTTATGGCTGCATAGTATTCCATGGTATATATGTGCCACATTTTCCTTGTCCAGTCTATCATCGATGGATACCAAGCTGTAACTTTTGTTCATTCACTCATTCATTCATTCCTTTTCCAACCAACTTGTTCCAGTTCAGGGTCACAGGTAGCTGAGTGTATCCTAGCAGCTCAGGGCACAAGGCAGGACCCACCAAATACCACCCCAGGCAGGGCACACTCACCCACCCACACTCATGCACTGGGACCATGTGGACCCGCCACTTCACCTGATCTGCACAGCTTTGGATTGTGAGAGGAAACCAGAGGATCCAGAGAAAACCCTCACAGATATGGAGGAAACATGCAAAATCCACACAGACAGTGGCCCTGGCTGGGAATACATTATTTTTTCCTCAGCGACATTACAACGAAACAGGTCCTTATTAGAGGGCCTGCTAAGGAACCACAAATATTTAGTCTGTGTAATTTGATGATGTCATATGCATGCACAAAGAAACTATGATCACAATCAAGGTAACAGACATACCCGACACCTCCCAAAGTCTCCTGTGTGTCTTTATTGTTTTGTTTGTTTTTGTGGTAAGAACACTTAACGTGAGATCTACCGTCTTAATAAATTTTAGAGTACAAAATTCCACATTGTTAACTATAGCCACTGTGTTGTTCAGCAGATCTCTAGAACATATTCATGTTGCATAACTGAACCTTGATACACTTTGAACAGCATCTCCCCGTTTCTCCTCCCCTCATCGCCTGGCGATCACCATTCTGCTCTCAGCTTCCATGCGTTTGACTACTTTAGAAGCTATTATGCAGTATTTTTCCCTCTGTGTCTGGTTTATTTCACTTAATATAACGTCCTCTAGATTCATCCATGTTATTGCAATAGCATGATTTCCTTCTTCTTAAAGGCTGAGAGTAGTCATGTATTTTATAGATAGGTAGGTAGGTAGGTAGGTAGATAGATAGATAGGTAGATAGATAGATAGATGATAGATAGATAGATAGGTAGATAGATAGATAGATAGGTAGATGATAGATAGATAGATAGATAGATCACATTTTCTTTATTCATTCATCCATTTGTGGACACTAAGGTGGTTTTCACTTCTTGGCTATCATGAATAATGCTGCTGTGAACATGGGAATACCAGTATCTCTTCAAGATCCTCATTTCAATTCCTTTGGATATATGTTGTGTAATAGGCTTGCCAGTTCTGTTTTTAATTTCTGTGGGTACACAAGTGTATATAGGATACATGAGATGTTTTGTATTTTTAATTATCTGAGGAATCTCTGCACTGTTTTCCATAGCTGCTGTACCATTTTACATTCCCACCCACAGTATACAAGGATTCTGGTCTCCCCACATCCCTGCCAACACTTGCTGTCTTCTGGTTTTTTTGTTTGTGTGTGTGCTTTGTTTCTTCTTTTGAGATGGAGTTTTGCTCTTGTTACCCAGGCTGGAGCCCAATGGCACAATCTCAGCTCACTGCAACCTCCACCTCCCAGGTTCAAGCGATTCTCCTGCCTCAGCCTCCCTAGTAGCTAGGATTACAGGTGCCTGCCACCATGCCCAGCTAATTTTTTTTATTTTTAGTAGAGATGGGGTTTCACTATGTTGGCCAGGCTTGTCATGCTGGTCTAGAACTCCTGATCTCAGGCGATCTACCTGCCTCTGCCTCCCAAAGTGCTGGGATTACAGGAGTGAGGCTCTGCGCCCAGCTCCTGTTTTGTTTTGTTTTTATAGCCATCCCAGCACGAGTGGAATGGCATCTCATTGTGGTTTTGATTTGCATTTCTTTGAGGATCAGTGATGTTGAGCATCTTTCAATGTACCTGCTGGCCATCTGTATGTCTTCTTTTAAGAAATGTCTGCTCGAATCCTTTTTTAAATCAATGTATTTGGTTTTAGGCTATCGAATTGTGGTCTCATATTGATTTTAATGTTTCGAGCAAAAGTGCAATCTGCCTGGTTTCCTCCTCAATGCAGAAAATACCCTTTGTGAAGTGGAACACACAAAAAGTAAATGTTCTTCAAATATGATCTCAGAACGTCAGCTATAGAGGAGAAGAAATTCTTTCTCCAGGAACCCCTGCCTTTTAAAACACCTACTGTTTCTTGACAAGTCAAGCAGCAGGGGGCAGGACCGTGCAGTGGGAAAATTTATGGCTGACCAGCTGGAAATCTGAGTCTGATCCCATTCTAGCTGGAAGTCTTTTCACCTCACCTGGCTGTGGTTAACTTACCTGCAAAGTAAGGAGCTGAACTGGATGGGCTTTCCTGCATCTAGCATTTTCTTTCACTCCATATTCACCCTTGAACTCAGGAGTTCGAGATCAGCCTGGCTAACATGGTGAAACTCAGTCTCTACTAAAACTGCACAAAAATTAGCCAGGCATGGTGGCGTGCACCATGCCAGATACTGTGTTAGGTGCCTAAAAAAGCAAAGCTCACTAACCTATTTAAGGCTACCGAAAAAACTACCAAAACTACATATGAGAATTCTGTTCTAACAGTTATCCTCAGTATGAAGTGCCAACAGACAGTGAATGAACGAATATGCTATCCAGGACTACAGTGAAGTTTCAGTATCTCTAAGAGCCACTTCACTCTCAGATATGATCAAAGGCTGCCCGAGTGTCTGGATTTAACATTGGGTAGTAGAAGGTTGAGCAGCAAGATTAATATATTTTAACCACTCCAGCTTCATTTGGAATCTTCCCACATGCAGCCGCAACTCAAAGCCACAAAGATAGCACTATCAAAAGTAATCATCCTTTCTCCCCACAACTTCTGCAACTTCAATTTTTCCACTTTGCTTTGGTGGCTCTGTTTTGCTCCCAGGTTTCCCAACCAAGTAACCTTTGAGTCACACTCAACTCCTCTCTCCCCTTTCCTTCCTGAATTTAATAAGCTACCAACAAATCTGCCACGACCCACTCCAACAAAAGCCTTCCTTCGGCAACCACAGTGCAGACTTCTATTGTTACAGCTGCCTGTCCCGGGGGGAATTCCAGCTGCAGGCGTTCCTTGGGGCCCCAGTGGAAAACTGGAAAGGAACTATTGAATCCTTTCACTGCCTGTTTTCCCGACTCCCATGGCCAGGGAGGGAAGGGGGAGGGAACTCACGGGCAAGTGCTTCCTACCAGTTCAGTGCCGCCAGGAACCGGGGCTTTCCCACAAGGCCGGGCCAGGTTCTAGGCAGAGAAGCGTCTGCATTCCGAGGCGCAGTCTAGGCTGGAGCCTGTCACCACCCTTCAAATCCCTTTGAAGCTGGGCAAAAATCCTGCCAACGCCATGCTTGAGAGCTCCTCCGCTTAACCTGGGAGGGGCTGTTTCCTGCCTGCCTTTCACAGCCTCTCACAGGAGGGAGGTGCAGTCATAATCATTCTACAGGATTCTCACTTTAGACACCAAAATCTAAAAACGCAAGAAAAATAAACTTTATATGAAATAACACATCAGATTGACAAAGACCTATTTAATGCTGAAAAATTATTCTACTAAGAGATCTATTATCATAAAATATATACACATATATATACACCTATGTACACATATACACTTATATATACATATAAATTATTTAGACACCAGTTTCCCTTAAAGTCATGTTAAACATTCTCAATATCTTAAATTTCAGACTCTTCCCCACCTTCACTGTCCTTCTCTGAACACAGTCTAGGTTATTAATTTCTCTTGAAATATTATACCCAGGAGGAAATGCCGGATCCCCGATGGTGCCTTACAGGTGAGCTTTTTGTCCCCACGTGGCAGCATTTTCATATATTGACCTGGGATAAAATCCTACTTCTTTTTCACATATACTGCTCCCAAGTCAGAGTCTTCTGTTCTGGACTAAGGGAATTGAGTTTAAAAGCTTTTGTTTGTGTTTTTGTTTTTGAGGAGAATCAGAGAACATTAGAATGAAAGAGTCTGTAGAAATTGCTGCTACATGTTTTCAAGCCATGGATTATTTAGTTCATTCATGGGCCATGAAATCAATTTAAGTAGGTCACTGTTATGGACTAAATGCTTGTATCCCCCAACTTCCAAATTCATATATCGAGGTCCTAATCCCCAATATGATGGCATTAAGATGTGGGGTCTTTGGGGGGTGATTGAGTAATGAGGGTGGAGCCCTCATTAACGGTGTTAGTGCCACAGAGAGCTCCCTTGCCTCTTCTACCATGAAAGGACTGAGTGAGAAAGTGCTATATTTGACCCAGGAAGCAGACCTTCACCAGACACTACATCTGCTGGTGTCTTGATCTTGGATTTCCCAACCTCTGGAGCTGTGAGAAATAGATATTTGTTGTTTAAGCCACGCAGTCTATAGTATGTTTGTTGTATCAGCCTGAACGGACTAAGACAGTTACCCCCAGCTCTTTCTTTAAAAATTAATAAAATACAGTAGAAAGTATCAGAGTGCATTACACATATGAAAGAAGAGTATTATTATGTAAAACTTTTGTTTCAGATTGAGATACACAAGTATAGATTGTGTGTGTATAGATTATGATCATAATTACGTTTTGGTCAAAAAACTTAAAAACCACTGATCCAGTTCCACCAGGAAAGGCACTGTTCTATAATGGATAAGAATTTGTTTGAAATTTGGAGTCAGAAAATCCCTGGTTTCTCGTCTTGGATCTGACCCTTAAGAACTACATGACCCCAGGAAGTTATTTTGCTTCACTGAAACTCAGATCAGTTCCTCATCAATAAAACTGGATAGCAGCAGCACTTTCCGCAAAGAGTTATTGAGGAGAAACACAATATTACTCACTTCCTTTTATTGAGCACATGCCATGTGCCAGGAAACGTGATGTGTCTTCATGTGCACTGTATTTCTGACCTTCACCACGACAACCCTCTGTATTGTCATCCATCAAATGAAGGAACTGAGGTAGTCTGGTCACATGTACGTACTTAACCATTCCACTACACCAGCTCTAAGTACACCATGTCTCTACAAATGCAAAGATGCATTTGATGTACTTAATACAATCCACTACACTGGCTCTAAGTTCATCATGTCCCTACAAAAACAAATATGCACTTGAAATAATAATGTTAAGACATAATCAGTGCTAAGTACTTAGTATGGACACAGAGGATCCTTCAAAATTTAGCAGCACTCAAAGGGCAGGCCTTCTGCAAGTTGAGGAGTTCAAGCCAGAATGTAGATTGCTGCCCTGCTTTCTTCGGGAAAGTTTTGCTTATTTGGCTGTATGAAACAATATGATGAAGTTTGTCATGATGTTCACCAGCACTCTCACCAGAGCTCCATATCTTCTGAGAAACGCTGCATCAGATAATATTGTAATAACCATCACAGGAACCATGATATTGTTAGTATGGTTTGGGACAGATTTAGATCTCTTCTTTCACCACCCAAAGCTCTTTTTACTACTCCATGGAAGAAACACATGCGCATGCTCCCGCTCACTTCCCCCTGGTCAATTTCGTCCTGCTGAAAGTTTTTAGAATCTTTACGGTATCATCTAAATGCACCAACTCTCCCCTCTGACTTTGTGTCACCTGCACACAGGCTGAGTGTGACTTCTGTGCCTTCACGAAGACGCTGAATAGCAGTGTTCACCAAGAGAGAGCCAAGGACAGGTCTGCTTTCCTTACAGCAATCCTATGGCTCCCCTCAATGGCTGCACACCTCGTCCTTATTGTGTTTGCCTCCCTTTCCTAAACCCTCACAAACCCTCACAGGCATTGACTTTCCGCAGGAGGATATGGAGAGGAAGCACTAGGAAATGACCCGCTTTGAAGGCTCCATCTTGTGGCGCACGCGCATCAGTGCAGGTCGGGACCGCGGAGGGAGGCGAGCCCGGGAGGACCGGCGCCCCTGCAGAGGCGGGAGGGAGCACTAGTGGAGCTCCCTTGATCTGGAAGGCGAATCTTCCCCCCCCCCCCCATAATGTCTCCAGGTAAAATCAGACTGGCCTTATTCACTTTGTTCACCACTGTGAATAAATAAATAAAACACTGCACCTGCTTCATTAATGGTCCAAAAAAATTTTTTTTTTAATGAGCGCGGGTAAAGAGAATTTTTTTTAAACATTTTCTCCACGATTCATCATTCTAAATTTGAAATGAAAATTCTCTTTTCTTTCAGTTACAATCTGGAAATTTTCTTTAAGAATTCCTTCATTGTAAATGGGACGCTAAAATGGAGGCAATGCGGGATAGGCGAAGCGGCTTCCTTCATCTTAAAGGACCCATACTGATGTCCTTTTACTCGGGCCTGCGTCTCCCACGCCGGGCTCTCATCTCCTTCAGGCGGGGCTGTGTTGCTTTCTGCAACGATGTAGATTTTTATTCCTTCTAGGATGCAAGATAGCTACAGCCAAGGAGATGTTTCTAGCACACAACCAGGCACAAGTCTTCAATGTGAGTTAAATAGTCGACTTAAAAATCTGAGTTGCAGTGCAGAAATCAGGTATGCAGATGCGAGGCTTGTCAGTGATAAGGAAGAGAAAAGAGGGAGCTGAAAGAGGTGAGAAGCCGCAGTCGCTCAAGACACTAACTTAGAACTCATGATCAGAAAGGGCAAGTGTAAGAAAAACAGTAGCGTTACTGATTAGGTCAGCACACACGCATCAGTGACAGGTTCTAAGAATCAAGAAAACAGTGAGGCCTGAATCCTGCCCAGCAGTGTGCTGTGGGAAGGGCACAATCTGGCGATTTGAAAATAAGTGTCCCTCACACCCTTCTTGTGCAGTCTCTGAAAGAGGGGCAGGTATAGGTGAGGTCAAGACTTCCCTGGATGCTTCCTCTCAGGACAGTGGTTCCCTTTACTATCAATTTATAAATTCCAGAATTGTAGCATCTCAACCCTGCAATGCCTCTGAAATTTTGATTTATGATTTTAATTCTTTCTTAACCTTGAAACAACCTTAGAGCTGATTTAATAGAGCACCTTAATTGTAAAGATGAGAAAAACACTGGCAGATAAGATGCGGTGTCTTCATACACAGCCCTCCTACTTCTAGCACCGCTGGCTATGACACTAGGGTCCAGACTCATCCTGGGGTGAGACTTCTTCGAGGGCCAGGGTAATACAGAATAAACTGTAGAAAACCACAGTTCGTGGGTGAAAGACAGAATGCTTCCTCCAGTCAGAGGTCTACTCTTTACTGGAGGAAAGTAATTTAAAAAAAATTTTTAAAGTGTAGTCAGTATGTTAGTAATTAGTGAAATGCCAAAAATTTAATCCCCTACCAAGGAGAACGGTTTTTGTTTTGTTTTGTTTTGTTTTTGCCCACCACCTCTGTCTTCCCCATTCTTTCTTCCAAAAAATGCTGACTGTAATTGACAAGAAAAACTTTAGAGGAAACCGACAGGCTTGTGCCCTAAGAAGTCATTGTACATTAAAAAGAAAAAAGAAAGCTGGAGATACTCCGGCTTTAGTGTCATTTACACCTTGGTTCAAATTCCAGCTCTACCACTGACCGGCTGTGCAACCCTAAATAAGTCACCCCTCTGAATGCTGATTTTCTCTTCTGTTAAGCAGGAATATTACAAAACGTACAGACATTCAAGGTTTGAGGGAGAGTTAAGTGAGAATCATAAGTGCTCAGGGATTGTGAGCTATGATGGCGAAGGACGAGGAAAAGGATGGAGAAGAGAAGGAGGAATTTTAAAAGACTCTTGATCCTTGTTGCAATTTGCAATCAACTACACTAAGTTGCCCCAAATTGCCTTCCCACCAATAGGAATGAGAGAGAAGTAGCAAATCATGGTGGTTAGAGCTGCACCATCCAAGATAGTAGCCCATGGCCATCCGTAGCTATTTACATTACAATTAAATGAAATCTTAAATACAGTTTCTCAGTTGCACTAGCCGTATCTCAAGTGCTCAGCAACCACGTGCGGCTGGTGGCTCCACTATCGGACTTCACATCTAAGTCCTAAAGCTCTGGACAAGAGCCTGGGCTCGGGAAGCAGGCTGCCTGCATTCAGATCTGGGCTTTGCCGCTTTTTAGCCACATTAGTTTCCATCTGGGCAAGTTAGTTTACATCTGCCCCAGTTTCTCCATCTGCAAAATGGGGATTATAGTATTAATACATACCTGTTAGAGTTGTTTTTTTTTTTTTTGGTATTTAATATTGAGCATAACTTTTCCTCTGAAACACAATAGACATTTAATATCTTGCTTCCATACTTGGGATTTCACAAGAAGCAATGTCTCAGCCCTTCTGACTGGCTCTCGTAAGCACACTGGTGAATCTAGTGATGCACGAGAGGGTCCAATGGGTCAAGTTCCTACTTCAGGACGTAACTGACAAGAAGTGAAATTTCTAGGCTTTCAAGTAATGTGCAAACTGTGAGCTCTG